AGAAATCATAAGATGAAGCACGAGCACTGACCATCCAATTAGATGACAACATTTCTTGCCCGTAAACCATACTTTACGTACGTACTAGTGATGCGGTAGAATCGTCCCAATGATGGTCGTCACATTGCTGTAACTTGCGTAACTATAGTAAGTAGTATAGTAAGTTACGGCATTATAGCCGTAACTTACCAAGTTATGGCAATGTGACGCAATGTGACGCAATGTGACGACTATCATTGGGACGATTCTACCGCATCACCAGTACGTACGTACGTACGTACGTACTTTGTACTCCGTTCCTAGTAAATAAATATCTGCTGCGGAAGCTGCGGGCCACCTTATGCACGCAAGTATGTACGCACGTACGTACGTACGTACGTGCTGTATCACAGATTTTTCGTTGTTACAATGTACGTACGGTATCACATAATCGGCCTTATATTCCGAAATAATTAAGTACGTACGCCATATGTCGTGTACAATATTTTAAATAATAGAAACAATTGTAACTCTACTTAATAAATTTATAAATACATAAATAAATCTGCCTTTTATTAATGATATCAAATAAAGATTTATAAAATATTCAAACTATCCACTTATAGAAACGGTCAAAAAAACGCAATACGCAATTCACACTATTAGAAATAAACAAAACTTTAATCCTTGACGCCAATAAATATGGTACAAAATACTAATGAGTTACAGGATTTCTTAGATGAAAAAATAATTGATGAATCATGTAAAGCTCATGATGATAAAAAAATAATCGATGAATTATGTGAATTATATGAAAATAAAAAAATAACTGATGAAACAAATGAATTAAATGATGATAAAAAAATAATTGAAGAATTATGCGAATTACATGAAAAAGAAGTACTCAAAGGAAGTTATGATTTTGAATTTTTTAATTCAATAGAAAAATATTTGACAAGAAAGTTATTAAAAACCGAGGATTTAATTAATTTGTGCTTAAATAATCAAACAAATTCTATACTTTTAACTATTCTCGCACGTTGTTATCGTTATGGAAAATGGGTTGAAAAGGATGAAAGTAAATCGTTCATTTATTATAAAAAGTCTGCTGACATGGGAAATTCTTATGGAATGTGTGATATTGGTGAATTATATGAATATGGAATCGGTGTTGAAGAAGATAAACATAAAGCATTCATTTATTATCAAATGTCAGCTAAAATGGATGATCCTTGTGGATTAGATAAACTTTCTTATTGCTATAAAGATGGAATAGGTGTTCAAAAAGACGGAAATAAATCATTTTATTACTCTAAAAAATCAGCTAATATGGGACACATTATTGGAGTATATGGTGTTGGTTATTGTTATCATCATGGAATTGGTGTTGAAAAGGATGAAAGTAAAGCATTCATTTATTATCAGAAGTCTGCTGATTTGGGTAATGCTAGTGGAACGTCTCAAGTTGGTTATTGTTATCAAAATGGAATTGGTGTCGAAAAAGATGAACAAAAAGCATTCGTTTATTATAAAGAAGCTGCTGATATGGGAAATAATGTCGCAACATATAATGTAGGTTATTGTTATCATCATGAAATTGGTGTTGAAAAGAATGAAAAAAATGCACTCATTTATTATCTAAAGTCTGCCGATATGTGTTATTCTAATGGTGTATCTCAAGTTGGTTATTGTTATCATTATGGAATTGGAGTCGAAAAAGATGAAGCTAAAGCATTCATTTATTATAAAAAAGCTGCTGATATGGGAAATAACGTTGCAACATACAATGTTGGTTATTGTTATCAGTATGGTGTTGGGGTCGAAAATGATCAAAGTAAGGCGTTCTCTTATTATAAAACAGCTGTAGATATGGGGTATATTGATGGAATGGACAAAATTGGCCATTATTATAAAAATGGAATTGGCGTTGAAATGGATGAATATAAGGCATATATTTATTATCAAAAATTAGCTGATAGCAAATGCAAATTAAAGTAATGCAAGCTTTAATCAAGCTATTAAATCAAAATTTTTTAAAACTTTAATATTCAATTTTATCAGATTATCAGCTATTGTTTAATAATATTAATAAATTCCATTCATTTATGTATTTTATCTCTCAACTTTATGAAACATAGTTATTATCCTTGTATATTTTTAGTATACAAATTTGTATGCTAAAATTTTTAGAAAAACATTAAGTTATATAAAATTTTTTTTAGTAAAACGTCTATTCTAATTGGTTATAGTGTTTTTTAGTACAAGTTGCATAGCACTCCACATTTACAGCGTGAGCACTTCATATGGCCTAAACAAAAAGCAAAATTTTGCCTAATAGTCATGAAGTGTGCTTTGTAACCCAATCTTTGAGCTGCTATATCTCTATAACATTGCCTCAAAAATTAATAATATAAAGTTGATTATAAAGAATCTTTGATTTATTTTAATATTA